TGGTAGTCGGACAACCTCAGTTTTGACTTGATGAGACGCGTTGCCAAAATCATTCATTACATCCTATCGTCGATCTAAGATTCGACTCGCATACTTGTCTTCGTTCATTTCCAATCTTTTTGGATGACAAACCGCTTCCGCATGATTCTTGATCAGGGGCATTGTTTGACGTGAAGCATGCCTCTTCCTCTAGGAAGTGGTCTGGTGTACTCCTCCTCCTCGTCCGAGCACAAACTCGGATCTCAGAAGTCGGGCCATCTCCACCGAACCGGCAAGTACCCCCCCGTAGAACGGTCCACTCTGGGTCGATAACAGGGTCGACTCCTGAAGCAACGAACCCCTGCCCCAGATGCTTCCTAGAGATAGTGGATGCATCCACCGCAAGTAGCTTTCATATATTTATTTATTTTTCCTAAGTCCTGGGGTAACTTAAAGAAAAGAAATCAGAAGAGACAAAGAAAATAAGAATCATTTAGACATGTACAGGTAGATAAAGGTCGTTTGGGATAGAATGAGTCAATCCTTGGGAAAAAGCTAAACCCGTTTGACCTTTTCTGCTTTATTTCAATAGAATTCATTCTACGACACACGTTGAATAACATTTTTCCAAAACAACTTCTTTTTGACAAGCAGACAGGTGAAAGGTTGAAAGAAGACAATCCATTCCTTCATCTCAAATAGGCATAATCAATCTCCTTTGTAAGCATCCCTCTACCTACCTGCACAGACCGCAAAGGAAACACGTTCAAAAGAAAACAATACAATCCCGTACTCGAGTCAGATTTTTCCATTCACATGCATGACTTGCACAACGTTCCTCTAACTTTTCTTTTGAATATTCAAAACAAACAGGGTCAAGCAAAGTGCGGGTCCACACAGGCGTGAAAGGAAGTCACCTTGGGACTGCGGGATGTATAGCTGGCGCACCCAGCCAGAGCAGCGAGGGGACGATGTGACCGCACCCGTTTCGACGACATGCGGGATATTCTGCGTCGTTCTTGAGTTGTTCTGTTTGGTTTTGGTTTTTGTTTAAACTCCTGCGTGACGTGGCCGGGAGAGCCCTCACCCGCGCGAGGGCCGATGCGCTCGACACCGTCATCGTCATAGTCCTTGTCCTCCGTACTCCTCTTCCCTCCCTCTTCCCTTGTCTTCCCTCGTATGGACGACGAGTGTCAACAACGGTGACAGGGGCTTGATGGAAAGATGGACTGTACCGGTAAGGGCATACCTCCGTAGTCCTCTTCCCCCCTCTTCCCTTGTCTTCCCTCGTATGGACTGCGAGTGTCAACAACGGCGACAGGGGCTTGCTGGAAAGATGGACTGTACCGGTAAGGGCATACCGGAAGCTTTTCTGCTGGTTCTCAACAAGCAGTTGGTAGGGGCATACTGAAAATTCGCAGCCAGAAGGCTGCGCCTTGTGCGGTTTGCATTTCGTCGTTTCGTGTCCTTTCCATTTTCGGTAATGTCGTGCAGTACAACGTTGCTAGGATGGGTCCATTAGGGGATTCCGAAAGCAGAAAAAGGTTCTGGTCGCAGTCGTCCCTAAGACCGGTCGTAGGGCAGGTTAGCTTGTCCAGGTCGTTCGAAAATGAGCATAAGGCGCCGGGCCGTCCACAGTTTCCCTTTTGAGGGGTGTCGTTTTTTCCCGTTTCAAAATAGGGGCGGATGATTTGGGCCTGGGGAGTTTCTGCTTTTGTTTTTTTTTTCAGTTTGAACTGCATCTCCCGACAAATATGGGAAGCGTTCATCTATGTACTGCTTCAATTTTTTTTTGAGGATCCAGTAGCGTTTTTTTGTGTAGCTGTAAAGTCAAGAGCCAGCGGGCTTAAGCGAAACTGGCTGAGGCTGCCAGGTTAACTCCGGGTTGAATTGTGAGGTCCCTGGCCTCGTCCCATTTTATTGGAATTTTGTGATTGCTTTCCAAAAAAAAAAAAATAAAAAAAAAAAAATTTGAGGAAGGGTGCACGAAGCCGTGACGGGCTCGCCCGTTGGTTTTGCACTGGATGGGTCGGATGGACGTCGCTGGGCGAGGGTGAGGTTGTTACTCGCCATGGGGTTGGCATTCGTTTCTGCAGGGGTTGGTATTCGGTTGTGCATGGTTGGTGAGCGGGGAGTGGGACATTGGAGTCAACGCCGCGATATCATTTCTACGTAGGGGGAAAAAAATAGAAGAAAAGAGAAAAAAAAGAGAGAAAGAAC